GCATTTTTGCTAGCAATGTGTGCAGAGCTGCTCCTCCTCCGGCTCCTCTGCCTGCCCACTAATGATGTGGGCAAAGTGTCCCTCCTGAAACTGCCTTTGTGAACTTTAATGCCATAGAAGAAAAGCACCAGGATTGTTGCTTTTTTGTGCCTTTTTGTGGATCTGCTATCCATAAGAGAGACAGTTAGGGAAGCGTTTGGCCAACAGAGATCTATGCAACTAGAGAACAAGAAAAAGGGCCGGGAAGGGTCTTAGAAATCTCATCATTTACTACACATCCCTGCCCCAATGCAGGAATCAATTCTGCCTAAGCCATTCCTGACTGATGTGTGCTAATCTGTTCTTAAGTGTGTTCCTCCAAAGATGGAATCTGTGTAGTGCTCTGAGCAATCTGTTTCAGTGCTGCACGTTCCTTACCATTAGAGAGCTTTTTCTTGTGTCTAACTGGAATCTTTCTGGCTGAAGCTTAAGTTCATATCCACCATAAAACTGGAGAACAGATTATTCTGTCCTTTAGCAACAGCTCTTTCTGTAATTGAAGACTGTTCTCATGTCTCCCCTCAATTCTCCCAAGGGAAGTAGCATGAGCCCTATATCTTGGGAGACTTCAAATTAGATCAGGGTAAGCAGTTTAGAGTGCGCTGCAGGAAGGGAAGCTGCCTCAGTAGGGACGCAGAGTACACAGTCTAGCTGCTTTTTTCCATAATGACCTCTTAGAGCATGGCTCAGTGCTTTTATCTGTATTTAAAAACACTGCACAGTTTCTTTTGAACAAGAAGGAAATGATGGAAAAATGAAATGCAGAGAAAGGAAATAAATCTTGAAGGCAGCTATTAATTTTAGAGACTGGTTTTGTAAAGCTATTTACCATCTGCCCCATATGCCCCGTTCTCTCACTCTGACCTTTTCCTTCGAAACTAGCAAGTTTAAATCCTTCCCCAGTCCTGTCCTTCCATTTAAATCGTGATTTGGCTTTATACCTTTGCAGCCCTTAAAAAGTTTGCTTGGAGTAGTTGTATTTTTGGTGATTCATTAAATTGCATCTGCATGTGTCCTTCTTGGTTACTTACCTGAGGGCTTTTATAGCTGAAAGAAGCAGACTTAGCTGAAGAGATGAGCGTGCCTAGCTCTAATAAATAAAGCACATGGAGTCAATTAAAACAATGTTTAAATAATTTTCAGAAAGGAGGATGCTTGATGTTACTACATCAGAGGACCACAGTGACTTTTAAGCCAACAAACTGTGCAGGTTTACTTTCTCATTTAATCTCCAGGTCTATAAAAAAATGCCTGCTTCCATAGCAGTCATCTACTGACTCCAACAGTTAACATGATTTTGGAATTATTTTAAGTCCAAACCATGTGAAAATAAATCCTAACTCAATTTTGTGGGATTACTTTGTTTCCATTAAATTCCTCTTTAAAGCATTTCATATGCTCAGTTTTATTATTGTTACTTCCAGGAATTTCTAAATACTTCCAAATTTGGATTGATTAAAGTTTTTTAACTTTTCCGGGGGAGGGGGGCGGGGGGAGAGGGAAGGGGGAGAAGTATGCAATTCCCTGCCTCCTTTCCCAGGTATGGACAAACCAAGTTGTTTACATATACATCTTAATGGATGCATATACAACACACACACTGTCTGTGTGGTTCTTTATAGTCATAACATATTAGGAGGTAGATATATCAGATTTCACAAGTTAAACAAAATAGAGCTGAGTGCGTACTTAAAGATGAGGGACCTCCAAAACAAATTGGGGCATAGCAAAGAATGGTGAAGTCACGTGGTTGATTAAACAAATGGCATCCTTTTTTCTGATCCTCCAAAGCACTGTGCACGTGCTTAAGGAGCAGAGTAGGAGAGAATTAAGCAGACAGTCACATCTCTGCAGGATGTGGGGTTGGGGTTCTGACCCTTCCCTGCAAACAGCGCGGTGCCATTTTTGCGTGTCGATCCGTAGCTCAGCAGTGCTCTGTGTGAGCGTAACACCCAGCCGGGAGGTGGTCAGGATGGGGCTGCTGCCCAGACATTTTGATGTGACGTTTTTCAGATGAGTAAACTCAAAACTTTCTCTACGATCCTTCAAGGCTCTTTGGTCAACAGTGCTGTGGCACCTGTCTGTAGGCAGATGTAGGTATGTTTCTTTAAGTAGCTACATACTTCCTCACCGCTTCCATGCACAGTGTTTGCTTATTTGCTAAGCTTTGAATGCTTGTGTTGTTTTCCATGGCAATTTTCTATCCAATAATTTTTATTACAGTGATAATTTGAGTGAAATGCTTCAATGTAGCTAGCTTGTGCCTTTGTAATAGACTTTGATGGTCACAAGGTCACTCTGTAAACATATAGATCAGATAGTCCTGACCTCACTAAAGGTTGCCTCTGACCTCAGTGGAGTCAGGAGTTCTTACCTTATAATTGAATTTCCTCAAATAGTAGCACTCAGTTTTCCTTTTCCCACTGTTTTAGGTTCAGGTGTGCCCTAGCAGGGAGATGACTAGATTTGCTTACACTTCCACCTGCTGAGTTGATACGCAGTGGACACTAGATGTGTTTTGACAGTGCATATTCTGAAATGTTTGCTGGCGTCATCTTCCCATGAATCCTAGGCTCTCTGTCCAGTGTGGGCAGGAAGAGACTGAGGTCAAGCCTATAATTGCAGTTCTAGAATATGCTTCCTTTCTGCCTTCAGTCAGGCTGCCTGTCCCTCTTTTAATTATGTGATAAAGTCTCTGTTTCATCATTGCACTATGAAGAGATTTGCCACAAAGCAACCTCTATGGCATAGGATTTGGCAGAGGCATGCAGGATTTGGATTATATTATCTCACAGAAAAGTTCACTGGATGCTTAAATCTTTTTCTGCTTTCCTCTGTGCAGAGGTCAAACAATCCATGCAATATAGTGTTGTACTTCTTGTCATTGCACTGAGATGCCACAGCATCACCCACTGGGAGGGATGAGCGGCTCACGAGCTGCCTCTTTCCTCCTCATTGCCACCATTGGGGCTTTGTGCAACGAAAACAGGCCCTGAGCTCCACAGGCAGAAACCCAGAAGCTCTTTCAGCAGTGCAGGGGCTTCTGTACCCTCACCTGTCCCTGGGCCATCTGCACAAGGAATGGCAAAGCCTGGCCCCAGTGTCTGTAGCTGTGTGGCCCTTTAGATAAGCCACAACTGTGCCCGTGATGCACTGGTGGAAGCAGAATGAAAGAGCCCAGTGAGGCCCAGGTACCAGACCAGCTCTGCCCTCCTGACTCCACCAGGACCAGGTGAGGGCTTCTCTCCACAGGGGTTGTTCCTGGGCTCTGTCCCTTGTGGGAATCAGCCAGACCTTGCTGCAGTAGCATCACTCTTAAAGGTGAAAATGGATAGGCTTCAATAAAATACCAGTGCCCAAAAGGAGCTTGCGGGAAGTTCACGTGTCCGCCTGTCCCGTTGACTGAGGACCATGGTGTATAGTTTTCCTTTCTCCTAACCTCCTGTATGACATGTGATTTGTGAGGGACATCTGGAGACCTGAAACTTGCTGGCTGTATCTTCAGTGAATTATACGCTAGCATCCAGCTGTAGCCACCCAGGCCATGTCGTCAGCCCAAATGCACCCAACCACGCTGCCCTTTTGACAACAGTTACATTTTCTTTAATTAACTGGATTATGTTATGTTTTTATCTGTGGAGCATTTGCAGTGGTTGTCATGTTACCTACAGAAACTTGTGTGTTCATAAGTTTGTTGTGACTGGGCTTGACCAGTGTGGAACAGCAGCTGGGAAGTTCAGTTTACTGCAGTCGAGTTATGGCCATTGCATGCAAAATTTCCTAGATCAGACCCTCTTTTACTTTGTCGACCTTGTCTGAAGAAAGAATCCTTCCTGAGCTTTGTAAGCAAAGAAAAACAACCAACACAAAGATCCAACAGATTGCCAGAGACAAGTATTACTGCCTCTCTGAATATTTATTAAATTAAAAACAAAGATAAGAGAGAATGGAGCAGCATCTACCATAAAACACTCATTAGAAGGGCATTTACAAGCTCTGCCTAAAACAACACTTTTGCAGTTTCTCTGTTTTACTGATTTTTCCCGCTTCTCTGAACATAAACCCCAATCTGCTCCCACGGAGCTTGGTGGGGCAGCGGATCTAGGCCTCATTATGAAAAAGCAGGGTGTGCACTGTCTCTTCTGCTTGTATTTCTTAGCCGCAGGCACCCAGCTGATTTCTTTGAAGACAGTTAGAACAAGCCATGTACAAAGGAGGAATTAACACACTGATACACAAGATGGGCGTGTTGCTTAGATGGCCTGGTAGGCAGGTCTTCACCAGAGACTTGGATTTCCGATTTAAGTATGGGCTTTCTGTGTAACCCTGTGCAAATCACTGATCTTTCAGTCCCTCATTTTAAAATGGAATTGATAGTGCTCTGATGCTGTGACGCTGCATACCACAGTAAGTGCCTACGGCCAGTGCTACGAGAAGATGCTTTGGTGCACAGGATACAGTCTCCTGTCTCTTCTACACCAGGCATTCATGCTGCAAGCCCACTCCAGCTTTTTGTAGACCTGCCTCTGGTTTATTTCGCTGCTATGTGATCTTGACTAGTGCTGCATTTTGTCACCATGCAGTGCCCTATAGGGTTCCATCTAGTGCAATACAGGAGGGATCCCCTTCCTGCTTGAGCTTGGCAAGTAAAACCCTGTTGTATACCTATGATGGTTTCATTCGTACAGCTTGGCAGGCTGACCATGGAGGTGGAGTCAGCTGCCACCTGCTGAAGACATAGATGGTCAAAGTTTTCAAGAGTAAAACCTGTCCTTACCCTTCCAAGTATTGCTGCTTGTTGAGTAGTTAAAGCGTTCATCTACCATGTAAGGACGAGTGATGATGCTTCCTTTAAGCAATTGCATTTCCAGACTCACTGGATAATACATGATTATTTTTTCTTTTCTTTCTCCTTTATGTACATGAATTTGTTTTCAAAACCAATTTTTTTTCTTCCTTAGGAGATGACCCATTCCTGGCCTCCTCCTCTTACTGCTATTCACACTCCTGGCAAGGCTGAGCAGACCAAGTTTTCTATCCCAAGCAAGGTACAAGTAGGCTATTACCAGTGACCTGGTTAACATGCTGTTCTGTTGAGTGTTCTTCGCTGGAGAGTTTATTTTTGTAATTGGTTCCATTTTCAAAAATTTCTAAGACTATTTTTAGTTGGAAATTCCCAATCAGACTGTTGTTACTAGTAGGACTGCGTATTTAAAGCTGCAGAAGTTACAGTGGAGGCAAGGTGAACTTTCTCTGTTGTTGTAAGAGTCTTTCTACATCAAGTACAATCTATTTTACTTGTTTGTTTTTCTTACGTTATTATTTCTGCAGTGCAATGGCTGAAATGCTCATTTCTTCCTACTTAGTGACTGATTACGTGATGAGGTTTAGGCTGCATGGTCAAATTATGGTGACTTAAAATACTCCAGCATGTGAATAGCGCCATGGCATCTGTCTGCACACTTCAGGGGCACATCACGATGCACAATGTGATCATCGGTATTTGCCTTGTTAAAAGCACACACTCAGCACTTGCCACGTCAAAAACACGTGCCTGGAGAGTACCAGCAGTTCACCTAACACCCAGTGAATTGTTAAACTGTATGATTTGAACATGCCTTTAGCCCAAATGCCGTTGTTGCCTTCTAGCTATGGTTCTGGTAGCGCTGTTAGAGGTCAAGCTCGTAGCCAGGGCAATTACTGCTGGAGGTATCTTTTGCTGGGACCTGAACAACTGGGAGCTGATGATGATTGGGGAAGGGGAGAACTTCCCCAGGATGGGAAATCTACAGCAGTCTGACATGGAGCTACATAAAAGTTTCCTTCTAAAGGCAGGACCTTGGAAAATAGCTTACAAAACTGGTACTGTTGGATATTATGGCTCAAGCAATCATACCCTGTTTTAGAAGCTGGAATGTGGTTTTCCTCTTACTGATTTTATCTGTTTGGCAGATACTCCCCTGTCTGAAATGCAGCCGCCATACTTAATTGGAAATCATAGGAGATTAGCAGTATCTGTGGCTCCTTAGAAAAACAAAGCCAGTGCCCAGAATGCCTTGTTTTAATGGAATGTGATTGTTACTGCTCCAGCACTGCCAATGTCGCTACAGTTAACTGCTGCAGTATTAAGCAGCAGAAGTCATAATCATACAAGAGTATAATCTGCATTGCAAACTGGGTTAAAGTCAGTTGAAGCCATTTAGGTGACAGTGAGGTCTGACCTGTGTGCATACAGTTAGTGAGTAGAGGGTTTCGCCCACTGGAAGCTGTATTTTTGTCAATTTATACCCTCCTTAATTTAGTGCTCTGTTTTTGATGGGCCCTACAGAAACTGGTCTACGTCTTGCAAACTGCTGCTATCTCCACTGGCAGCAGCATAAGCATCGGTTCAGAGAAGCTAAAATTTTGTTTTGGTTTTCTGTTTATATTAAGTTTGCTTTGAACTTTTAAGATCCACATCAAAGTCAATTTCTGGGCATGTTAAATGTTGATCCTAAAATTCTTGACCATATCACTTGAATAAAAAATATAAATTAGATATTATTTTTGAGCTAGCATTTCAGGAAATAGGCAAGCACATAAATATTTCCAAGTTTTCTAGTTTTACTTTAAAAAATACAACAGAAATGTCTCTTCAGAACATCACATTAAATCAATTATAGCTAGCCAAATTATAGATCTTAGACATAACGTGGCTAGTTGTGCAGTCATATAAACCAGAGACGGGCACTATTGGAAGTTCTCAATTGAACTATTAAAAAAAAAGTATCCTCATGAGAAATGTATATAGAGAAGTGTGATAAAAAAGGCGGAACTTATCAGAACAATTTATCCCTTTGACGTTCAAATGTAAAGTGCCATGTTTACTCTTAGGGCATGATTTACTTCACAAGGGACTGACTGACGACTTTAAAAAATACAACAGAAATGTCTCTTCAGAACATCACATTAAATCTATTATAGCTAGCCAAATTATAGATCTTAGACATAACGTGGCTAGTTGTGCAGTCATATAAACCAGAGACGGGCACTATTGGAAGTTCTCAATTGAACTATTAAAAAAAAAAGTATCCTCATGAGAAATGTATATAAAGAAGTGTGATAAAAAAGGCGGAACTTATCAGAACAATTTATCCCTTTGACGTTCAAATGTAAAGTGCCATGTTTACTCTTAGGGCATGATTTACTTCACAAGGGACTGACTGACGGCACAGTATAATATTAGGAACTAATAATGCCCTAAGAGGAAGTGCAGTGAGGGCTTTAATGACTTTAACATCCTACAGAACTAACACTTCCAGCAAAGTAGTGCCTGGTTGTAAGATGAGGTTGTAAATAACACCTTAATTTCAAATGATCAAACTCTGCTTGGAAGGGAAGCTGATCACAATCACTGTGGACTGTAAAGCCTAGAGAAAAACTAAGCAAGAAAACTCTGTGACATTCAGGAAGCAGCTTAGTAATTGCGAGCCAACAGGAATCCCAGCATTAGCATGCTCAGTGGTACGAGCCAGAATCTTTGCTGGTTTACGGTTGTTGTACTTCCATTGATTTCATTGGATTTGAACCAATTTCCACCAGGTGAAGATCTGCTTCCTGCGTCTTTATCAAATCCTGTGTGTCACAGTCCAAATAAAAGCAGTGACTATCAATAAAAGGTTACTGTATTTCTAAGCAGCGAGATCAAAACAAGAAAGGCAGTGGTGCTGAATTTAATGCGTAGCTGCATTCATGCTGCGGTCTAAATTGTACATCATAGATGGCTCATACACACATCGTGGCCAAGCCTGGAAAAGGCTGGGACCACTGCGGGTATTAATCTGTGCAGTGTCTCTGTAAAGGGGGTATGTAGATTTACAGCAGCTGAGGACAAGCTCTTGTCTGAACTGTGAAAGGGTCCCTCAGTGGTGCTCTGTCTCCACAGTTAATGTTTTTTTAAACTAATGTCACTGGTGCTGCCTTAACAATCACGATTCCTTCCCTGTACCATCTCCTTCCCTGTTTGTGTAATGCCAGTGCCCTTAATCTAGCAAGCTAAGACATAGCTTACCTTCTTCATCTTATTTAACTAATGCTGACATTTTGTGTGTTCTTCTTTGTAGGACTCTCAACATCTGACCTCAGGATACAATGTACAAAGTAGGTCTTTATCATCCTAGTCCAAACAGTCAGGGTTGGGTATTTTTTTTTCCTGCTTAACATCATTAAAACAAAGGCTAAAAAATTAATTTCTATGGTGCTAAAGCAGATCAGTTCCATTTTTTATTACATGTTATGCATTGTGGCATGTTGTGAAACCAAGTATAATTAGATGGGCTGACAGCTTTGGGTGCATTTTAATTCTACAGTAATCTTTTGACATTTGAAAATGTGTTTCCTTTGTTTGCAGAGTGGAGTGATCCAGCAGGGAAAGTTGCAACAAAGTCAGTGCCACAAAAGTCGTAAGTATTATTTCCAGCTTTAAATCTCATTTTAAATTTATCATAAAGAATGAGTTTATTTCTCCAAAGGTAACTAAAACCTAGCTCTGCTCGTAATCTTGTCCTGGTATTCAGGTGTTCTCAGTAGTCCTTAAAAATTAGCCATAAACCAGTTTTATGTTTTCAGTGCTTATTACTGTTTCTTCTTTTTAAGCATTAGCTAACAGAGGTATGTGTGAAAGATGAGTTTATTAAGCAGAAATAATGCTGATTTTAGTCGTACAGCTTGCCAAAATTAAATCACATTTATGCTTCTCTCATCAGATACTAAGCCTCTTACAATAGAAAATGCAACCCAATGAACAGATGATGCAGGAATTTTAACATTCATACAGTGAAAGTAAAACACATCATACAGAATGATTCCACGAGCTGGTGTTGAAAAGCTGGTCTTGAGTTTCATACGCTTTGAAACATCTGAAGATCACAGATGATCTATAAATATGACAGTTGAAAATTGTGGAAGAGCTAATTCTCCATTGTGTTAAACCATTTTTCTTTGGTGCTTCTCTGGTGTAAGGCTGCAATAATGTAGCAGTGAGTTGAGACTGAACTGCCTTTTTACTTTCACGCAAGGATCTCAAAGTAATTTACAAACAGGAATTAAACAGTAGCTTTGAAAAGCAGGTTTTTGGTTTTTTAGTTTTATACTTATGGAAACGTGTGGGTCTGATTTCACTTCAGAGCTGCTTTTTTTTTTTTAGTGTTCAAGTGTTATAAGCTATTGAATGTAGAACTGCACTAGCTTAACTGACTTTTGTGTAAATACAATATGTTCATTTAAATTCACTTCAAAATTATCCTAGTGTTCCCCTTAGTCTACTAAAGACATAATTTTAAGTAAAACCTTCTAGTGAAAAAAAATCAAACATACATAAATTTTTAAAAATAATTTAAATACATTGATTCTTAGGGCAAGTTTGTGCACAGGAGAGGACTTGCAGTTCAGTGACTTGTCTGTGACCATGTAAGAGATGCAGGACTAGACTAGATGTGGGTGCTGAATCTCTTGATGTGCTCGCCAGGCTCTGAAAGTCCAGTTCTTTACTCATAAACTCAAGTCATGGAAGTACTCAGTCAAATAAAGCTAGTTGATTAAAGCTTTTCAAAACTGTGGTTAAACAACTAATTCAATTTTTAAATGAAATGGTTTTTTCCTCCAAATGAATGAGAATCGGATAGGAATGCTAATGATAAATAGATTAATTTGCATAAATAACATTTATTTATGAAACTTAATAAGAAATTGGGTTTTGCCCTTTGCTATTTGATTTTCAGTAATGGCTTTGTTTTTTTAAAGAAACTGTTCTTGGTAACAGAATGGGTACAGTTATGTTTCAGAACATCTAAGTGATCCAAACTACCATCAAGCTCATTCTGTAGTAAAAATAAAACCAAAAAAAAAAGTAAAAAAATATTATTACATCTTAAAATGATTTTTCTCCTAAAGCAAGTGTATTTGGATTCCACTGTGAAAAATATTTTAGTGAGTATACCATAAAATACAATATTTCAATAGTTTGTAACCAACAGTAATAGACTTGTCAATCATGGTTTATAGTTATAAGCTGAATTTCAAAAGAACAGTGCTTCAGAGCTCAGTGGTATATAGTGCATTTAATGGGACCAAAGCTCTCTATAGGAAGCCTGATATAAAACCCGAAGACACTGAGTACATTTTATGAACCAGTTGCTCTCTGTTCTGCTGCTTGATCTAAAGTTCCAGTACTATCAATCAGATTTCTGCTGCAATGAACTGCCTTCTTATGGTAGGTGATAGATTTTACACATGAGAGATCAGAGCTGCAATAAAGCTACTTTTATTTTTAGCTTCCAAATGAAGATCAGCTAACCCATTACTATCACTTTTTCTCTTTTACTGCAGAAAAATTGTTAAGGCAGCTTCTAAGAATTTCCATAGGGCTTTGGGAGGTTAGAAGGCAGTCCACTGTGAGTCTTGGTATTACGAGGCCAATTTGTTTCTTTAGATCTGCGTGTGCAGTTCTTGCCACTTTCACTGGGAATTGCAGTACTTGAGGACATAATGAAATTAAGGCAGTGAGTGGGGCAGAAAGTCGTAATGGTATCAAGTAGAGCTGGGTAGTGTGATCCAAATAAACCCTTAGAGATTAAAGCTCCTGCAGTCATTGTGGATTTTAATAATATGGTATTTATAAGATTGCTGTTGTATTAAGGATTTAGTCTTTCTAAGATGGTCAGTTTCAGGGATACTGGAGTGTATGAGTGAAATTACAGCCTAACTTATCCCCCGTAACATTGGTTGCGACACTGTCAGCCACGCAGCATGATCATACTGACTTCAAAACTCTATCCCCCACCAGTTCCTTCTACATTTTGTCAATGGGATCTATTCTCTGTATTTCAGTTTGATCAAATCTGACAGAATTTGGGTTTGTTCGTCTCTGTGCTTTGTTAGAGACCTTTTAACCTGGACTTATTTCTAGATATTCCCCGACTTTTGTGAGTTTACGTGCAATTCAAGTGAAACTTACGTTGTCTTTTCCATACACTGTCCTAATGACACCCTTATGGATTCCGTTGGCTTTGTTAGAACTCTATAGGATTTGGTAGTAATGTGCTTGCATTCACTATATTGGTGAGTTGACTAGTCAACATGACTAGTTGAGCGATGCGTGCAGAATGAAGATACTTTGCCTTCATGATGCTGTTTTCTACACCAGTACCTAAGATGCCTGTATGTAGGCACCTTCAGGTGCAGAAACATTGGCATCATAGAAAATCAGACCAAAGGGAAGTATGATCTTTGCAAGATAACCTTTCAGGTGTGTGCTTCTAGGGGGAAGAATGGAGGCAACATGCTGCAAGGTAGATGAATTAACCAACGTCTTGCTTTTGTAGGGGGATGCAAGATGCATGACTTGTCTAAGTAAAGCTTTCTAAAATATGAATTTCATCCTTTTTATGCTATTTCAATGTACCTTATTGCATTCACATGCTGGAGAAACCAAATCTCCTATGCTTTGCAGGAGGTAAAATAAAATAGAAGGTAGAGTAGTTGGGATTGTGTCTAAATTCTGCATCTATCTTGTACATGAGTACATGTACATGTAACTAACCTCAGTTCCTAATTTCTGCTCAAAAATCTTGAAAATGAAATTTTGAACACTGATGTGCGTGCATGTGTGTATACTGTGGTGAGCTTTTTAGCTGAAATCAGGCTATGTAAAACTATGGCACTTGGCTTCTCTTTTTTTTGTTTTAATTTCAGATTCACTGTAAATCTCCACTGGGTATTGTGCAGTCAGTTTTCAGCCGGTCTACTCTGATTATTTTATTATGAAGCATAGTAAGCAGGAACAGATAAGGTGCAACCAATTGCACTGAGAAGGATTTTCTGTCAACTTCCATGAATTTGAGGGTAGGAACTCAGCTCGCGACTTAGGTTTCTGTTATATAATTACCATTGCAAGTATGTCATCCTCAAACATCCAGTCCTTTTGTTCTGTTTTGGTTGTTAGCATTTGGCCTCTGTCCAGTTGGAAACTACCCAGAACCTTTTTAATCAAGCACATCCTGTGTTTCAAGATCACGCTGCAGAGTAGTCTTGGGTAGTTTCCATAAAAGCCTAGCTAAAAAGAAGAATGTAATCATAATGGTATTCTTCCCCTGTCACAAAATTACTTCCTATACTTACTGTATTAATACAGTATTAAAAGGCCCTTCTCATGGGCTCAGTAAGCTACCGGAAACCATTAAAAACTTAGAGCAGCAAATTTTTATGGATCAGACAAAACCAACTTATTTTATCTTTATAGAGTTTTTGTTATCCATCATACTTAATGATACACAACCTGGGGGGGGGGGGCTGGAGAAACTAAGTACAGTGGGATCAAAACCAAAACAAGCAGCTGAAAGTCTTTATGTGATATTTCAGCAAGGATTTTTCAAAGGGGACTCAGCACTGGTTTCAGTTGGGCCAGGATTTCACTTCACGGTTCTAAAAAAATGTCAGTAAATACCAGTACTTTTCTAATCCCAAATTATCCATCATACTTAATGATACACAACCTGGGGGGGGGGGCTAGAGAACAACTAAGTACAGTGGGATCAAAACCAAAACAAGCAGCTGAAAGTCTTTATGTGATATTTCAGCAAGGATTTTTCAAAGGGGACTCAGCACTGGTTTCAGTTGGGCCAGGATTTCACTTCACGGTTCTAAAAAAATGTCAGTAAATACCAGTACTTTTCTAATCCCAAAGATTATGATAATACTTGATGGAAGCCTGTTTGAAAATGGAAATGTGCTTCTTGACATCTAACTACTTTTCATAAGTATCTAATGGCTTTTTGGAAGTTCTCCACTGTGTCAGGGACAGCCACCTGGGAGCATGGAAAACAAAATCTGGCAGCATGTTCAAGCTATGAATTAAAGGTAATTCACGGTTTGAAATGAATCAGCGTGAGGTCCTTATGAAGAGTAATCAGACATCAAGAGGATTTTACACCAAGGATTGTATATTGGATAATGCAACAACAAGTCATGTTGTTATTCAGAACGTTCAAATCAAGAAGCACTGATGAATTCTTAACCTTGAAAGGAATCAGTTTTAAAAAACTGGGATTCATTCAATGTTGATGCATCATTTCCCGTTCAGTCACACGAACCAAAAATATAAAATACATCTCTGACTGGAATAGGAAGAATGTTTCTATTTCTGTATCCAACCCTATATCTGAGTTCCAGTCACAGTTCCAGCCCAGGTGTAATACACTGAAGAAGGTGAAATTTTAGTACTTCTAATTACGGTTTTTGATCGATCCTATTAAAGCATAGGGGCGTCAATTGATCCCACGGTGTTGATAGCCTGCTTGCTTTTATAGCATACGTTCATGTTCACTTAGCAAGTGTGGCAAGCTTTAATCATTAGGCAAAGTACTGCCTGTTTGTTAGAAGTAGGAAGTTCCAAAGATATTCCCTC